ACTGCTGATATTAAATCTTAACTTACTTCCGTGTAGCTCATTTGGTTATTTATTTATTTCGCATTTAAAAATTCAGAATAACATTGATGGAAATATGAAAAGTACATAACAGAGTGAGGAGGGATCATTTTAATGACTGGATGACGCTTAGCCCAGGGATACCGGGTAAATGTTTTTAAAAAATCAATACCAAATTTAACGTAATATAAATTTTGTTAAAGCTTTTCAAAGTATCAAAACGTTACCCAGGGATACCTGGTTAATGTTAAAAAAAATCAATAATATTTTATTAGCAAAATTATCGTAATTTATATTTTGTTAAAGCTTAACAATTTTCAAAACGTTAACGTTTTTTAATAAATCAAAATAAATAAAAATAAAATGAAACATGAAATTTGTAGAACGCAGGTCAATAAAAGAAATTGCTTAAATTTCTTCTGAGCGCCAACTCCGTCGGCAATTTGGTAGTATTAATAGAATTTNNAGGAGGTGGGGGGGGGGGGGAGGCGCGGTTAAATGCAAGTAAAATGCATTGTTTTTATTTTTACAGTTCTTTAAATGACAGTGGAATAAGTTGTAAAATGTCTTTTTCATCCAATGGTATAACCTAGGCATACCTAGTTCGATTTTTAAATTAGAAGATTAATAATTGGCTCAGAAATAATAAAATTTAACGTTTATAAAATAGTGCAGTAATATTTTTATTCAACAATACTTATTTCTTACCATATCAGTGTTATAGAGAAGCTAACTCCATATTTCACACTCTCTAATCCCGTTTTCTTAGCATACCTAAATCATCTTCTAGTATAGTATTATAACCTACTATTAACAATTGAACATGTATTTTTTTTGTAGATTTTTAGATCCTATGTTTTTTAGGGGATGAGGTTATCCTCACTGTCATCTGCTATATTTAGTTACCGACAAACGTCGAAGTTCGATATATCAGATTCATTACATTCAAACGTTTGTCTAGTAAAAGTTAAAATTATAAACGGAAGGTGGTTGTTAAAAAAGTATATTAAAGTTCCAACTTTATCTATGCTTTTTCAACTGCATCATCATGCTACCTTTTCTAAGTATAGTGTTTTAATACTGTATTGTTGTAATACTATAGACTAACATGCTATCGACACTCATGGTGCCATCTACCTACTTGTTAAATATGAATCCACGTGAGTTACGTAATCATATTGGGCGTCAAACGTGGACTTAAGGCCTGTTCAGATTATCAAATTTTCTTTGACAAAAAACATGACAATCACATTATGACTATATATAGGCATATCATGATATGGTAATAGTACATGGTTTTTTTTTGGTTTTTGGTGGGGTTTTTTGTCAAAGAAATTTGATAGTCTGGACATAGCTAAATAATTCTTGGAGAGGTTCGTGGTACGATCATTAGGCCTATTGATTAAATTTCGCTGCGATTAGGCCCATAAAAAAATTATTAGTTTATCACCCTATCAAAGAATAAAAACTGATGAGGGAGGGAGGTTTTTTTTTGTTTTGTTTTGTTTTTGGTGTTTTTTTTTTGGTAACCCGCCCCCATTTTACCGATGTTCACAAGTAAATCAGTGGTTAGAGACACATATATAAGAAGTCATAAGAATGGAATCAAATTTATATTAAAAAAATATGTTTATGTTGTACCAGTAAACATATTTGCAAGAAATCCTGAGCTTTTCAAGTGAAAAAATATGGAAAAATTACCGTTTGAAATAAAAAAATATTTTGATTGATGTTCTTTTGGCTGGCATAAGAAATACTGTAAATAAAAATAAATTAATAAATGCTTACTTCAGCGTGTACGTAGGCCTAATAATTGTATTGTCTATTTTATTTATCTTTACGATAAACTATATTTATCCAATTTTAACTTTATTTATTATAGAGCCACCACTCTGCTCTATCAAAGATCATTATTTTAACAGCTTACATATATTTTTTATCGGTCACGTGACTGGATCTCTTTCCAGTGGTTCTGGCAGCCCCTCTATCGTCCCCTAACACTCTAGCCGTGGACAAGGTCAGTCACCCCTTCTTTCTCCGGCAAATCCTGGCACCATAGGTCTATGCTGGCACCGCCTCTGTGCCAGACTACTAAAAAACCTGTTACCTAGGAGTATGTGGCTCATTGGTTCGGCCGATCCCCCATTTCGAGCAACCATCCTCTTAAAAACCAATTCCCAACTTGTATTAAATACGATCGAAATGATGATAAAGAATGAAATCCGCTCCTAAATACACACGTGCCAGTGGTGGCTCCAGAAATTTGTCGGCAGGGGGTCTAAATCAAGGGCCGACTAGAACCTTAAAATCCCTTGTAGGGTTCTCAGGGAGAGTTTGAAGGGAGGTGGGGGGGGGGGGAAATACGATGCTTAATCCTTAATTTTATATAATTTCTGATTTTAACTGATAGCTATGCCTTGTGTTTTCCCACAGCATTGTTGTTTTCAATTATTTTGTCTTTTAATTTGTATATAATTACGACTCCTCCCTGAGCCACTAATCATTTTTCAAAAGCAAAGTATACTGTACTTATGTACGACAGTGAAGGCAAACCGGATTTCGCCAAACTGAGTTTCGGCAAACCGGGTTGTCATGATTAAGTTCTGGGGCGGATCCAGGGGGTGCAGAGGTTGCGGTTGCACCCCCCTAAATTCTATTAGGAAAAATAACTGTTGCATTATATTGTTGATATGAATTATTGGTAAGATTTTTAAGGTATGAGAGTGCAATTTCCTGGCACCCAGAGCTCGATATTCTCAAAATGTTCGCGCCTCAGCCTCAACCATGTTGGAACTGAGGTGACATGGACTCTTCACGGATCCATGGGCGCAGATCACAGGGGAAGGGGAACACGTCTTCCCCCCACGCATAATTTGAAGGGAAAGGGTTAGTCCCCCTCACGTTTTGGGAATCAAGAAGATATGCCTGAAACTTGTTGAAATAAACTGCATAAAATGACTCAGTTATTAACGAAAGAGCATGGTAGACTTACAGCCAGAGTACATCTTAATTTTATAGCATGATACCGGTATAATCTGCCAACAAACATCTGTATTACCTATCATACACGATTCGAGTGGGCGTGCCTTTATTATAATTTGAGAAGTATGAGAAAAAGCGTGCAAATATAAAATTGGTTTTCGGCACATGAAGCAGGTAAAATAAACACATCAAAGACAAAAATTTTTATTTTCAATGGTAGGCCTACATCACAGCGATTAATTATATCGATAATAATGAATTTTACATATAAGAATGTCATATCCGGCACTCTAGAGGTACAATTTCCACCAATTTAACCACCTCAGCCACAACTGTGGTGGGGCTCAGATGCGTGTGGACACACAGTTTTGAAGTAGGTAAAGTAAAGATTTTTTTAAAGTTGTATTTTCTATGGTACCGTACATCACACATTAGATCTCTGTGGTTGCCGAAAATAGCTGATGAAACATCATGAGAATTTGTTGGCGCTTCATTTTGACTATATAATATTGGTAATGATGAAGAATTTTGTGTCATTTCCGGCCATCTAGGGGTACCGGTACTATTTCTTTAAATTTTGTGGCCACACAGCTTTGAGGTAGGTCAAATAAATTAAATACATCAAAGAAAGTGTTTCTTTAGTTGTTTTTTTTCTCATAATAATTAGATTCTGTGGTTGCCGAAGATCCCTGATTAAAATCATGAGAAATTTGCTGGCGCTTTATCTAGACATAAATTTTACTATATAAAAGTGTCATTTCCGGGTTTTGCCGGACAAGGGGTCGATATCTCTGATGGAAAGGCTAATCTTCTTGGCGGAATCCCAGCCGGGCAGGGGCCAGTAGCAGCCAAGAACCCCAGTGGCAAATCCGGGAATTTTAAATTGAGGAGATTCAGGGTGCACGTTAACAGATGGAGAGCCTAGACCACCCAACGCCACCATGATTGATGGGGCTGGATGATTACGGTACCTCTAGATGGCCGGAAACCGGGCACTCTCAGACTTATAATGTGGATTTTTTAAACGTTGAATAATTTATGTTGGGTGGGGAGGGGGCAGTGGCCGGCTGGGACTTTTTGAATCTTTGAATAGGTTTTTTTTTTTCTTCCCGACAGGTGTAAGGGAATTACTGTCCCCTGGCCCACATTTAGCGCCACGCTATTGCAAATCCTCCTTTTAATTAACCAAACCAAACCAACTGGATTGGATTAGATTTATTTGGTGTAAACACCAAGGATAGCCCACGAAAATCCAGAAGCCTTATTTCCAGTGGGGTCCTTATGGTGGTGATTGGGCAGCACCGGGAAACAATCCCCTACTCTTTTCCGAAGAGTGTACTGCGTTCTTTAACGTGCACATGGGCCATAAATGCAGACAGGACCAATGTCTTGAACGTCTCATCCGAAAGACGGTGCGCTATTGTAACTTGTATTTTAGCCCTCCAGCTGAAACACAAGGAGAGGCAGCAAGGGAATTGAACCGGGGACCTAGATATCTCCACGGTTTAGCGCACACACAGTGGCTACCACCGGATTAGACGACTGAGCTAAGCTCCTCTCTTGCATTAAATACTATCAAAATGATGACATTTACCATTTACATGCTAGAGGCTTCATTCATTTGCATTCTCCTCAAAATTGTACCCATTTCTCTGAACCAAATCATTTGGTGTATATGTTCCTCCTGGCTCTCCTAGATACCTTAAATGGATTCATGGCTATAAGCCTTTAAACACTTTTCTCAAAATATGCATGTCTATGCTCAAAGTATTATCTTGTCTGTGAGAAATCATTTAAGTTTAACTGAAAATAGAGGGCTTCAGTAAAACTTTTTTCCCAAGGAGGATTGAAGAGGAGTTTTCACATGTTAAAGAGGACATCCATGTGCATCGATTGATACCAAGAAAGCTTTGTTAACAATTTTTTGACGGCAGCCCATGATTTTGACCTAAGTCGACCAGACTATAACTATAATTAAATCAATAGCAGTAGTACCGTACTTGAATGAAATATGATTTTTAATTCGTTTTAAATGTACATACATAAAATAATAACCATAACCGTCGGAAGCATTTCGCAAGTTGTCCGGCCATAGTAAAAGCGGGGGTGGGTGCGCATCAAATTTGGTTCTTAAACTGCAGACGCGCTACAGTGCAATATATATGTGAAAATGATGTCTTACATGTTAAAATTAATATGAAAAAATGTTAGTCATTTCTAATTAACATATAGTTTACAGTTAAATTAAGAAATAAGTTGGTTATTCATTGCGGATGAGTATTTTACTCCATAATGACAATTGTGAGGACATTCACGTTTCGTTCGTTAATAATATAGGCCTAATAAAGAATGAAACGTAGGATCAATTATGTCTTGCACTTCTTTTTTTAAAAGTTACAATAGGTATATTCTATTTTTATTCTATTTCGAATCCTACATTATAAATGAAAACTAGAAAAATACATACTCCAAGTATTTAAATGCACGCCATCGTGTTGGGATTCAATATTTCGACATTGATTATGTCATCATTCTTTCTTATCTGAGATTAATCAGTAGAACATTCGGTTTTTAATAAAAACTAATTCTATTGCTGTGCAATAAAAAAAATATGTCGAGCAGGTTCGTCTTCATATTTGATTATTGATGTGATTTAAATCATGCTCCATAGTACCTATAAGCACTATTCCAACTAGCATTTGCTCCTCTTTTAATTTCAATATTTGTTTCCCGGCTTCACATTAACATAAGCGTTTTCTTTATGTTGTAAATCTTGATAAGTTTGGTTGTCATTGCCAGTAGGTATATCTGCCATGTATTCCATGTACGTCTGTCAAGATGTAAAAATGTAATTAATGACAACTGGCGATATTCATTAGTTTGTGCATGTTTTACAATAAATAAGGCATTATTTATAAGGTGCTCAGTGGCCTGTAAAAGACCGTTATAATATGAACAAAATCACAAACTGAAGGTGTAGCATAAGTGAGCTAAGGGGAAAAAATAAAAAGAAAGGAAAAAAAATGATTATGTTAATGTATTGGAGAAACTAAATATATAAGAGAATCACCCTATCTAAATTTTATAGAAATAACAGAAACCAAATAATATTTGCAACGTGGCAGGAGGGTAAGCTTAGAGTATATGATGGGCAAGGTGAATTGAATAATTAAAAACTTACATCTTGTTTTCGATTCTCAACACTTCTCTTGTCAACGCCTTTGTTCTAAATAGAAATACATTTAAATAAAAAAAAAAAAGTTAATTTCCCTTATTCTAATTAATTATTGTACATGTTTTCATGAGATATGCATTATCTATTTTCTATATTTTTTTATGTTTTAAATAAAATTTCGATGTTTTTCGGATGATTGTTTATATATACGCCAGTGAAAAAGCATAAATTGACCAACAAATATTATCTTAGGCCTATAATAGGCAATTGAGAGCAGGCAATCGCATTTACTTAGAGGCGATCCCATGATGAATCCTCTTTGCTGTTGGCCTAATTTGAGCCATTCCTTAATTTTCTAAATATCACCACCATCAACTGTTTTCAGTATTTTACGATTTCGTATCTGCCATAACAGTTACCCATTATAGACATCTATTTATATATCTAAAAGATGTACTCCGCAATAATATTGGAAAATTCTCACCCACAATTTCAAACCCTGATTAGTTACAATTCGGATTATCATAGCCATAATACACGAACCGTAAACAAAATACATCTTTTACACAAAACGCTGTCTTTTCAACACAATATTCAGTTTTCGGGTCCTAAACTTTGCAACAGTCTACCTTGAGAGAGCAGCTTAGCTCAGTCGGCTAATCTGGTGGTAGCCACTGTGTGTGCGCTGAACCGTGGAGATCTCTAGGTCCCCGGTTCAATTCCCATCGCTGCCTCTCCTTGTGTTTCAGCTAGAGGGCTGAAATACAAGTTACATAGCGCACCGTCTTTCGGATGAGACGTTTAAGCCGTTGGTCCCGTGTGCATTTATGGCCCATGTGCACGTTAAGGAACACAGTACACTCTTCGGAAAAGAGTAGGGGACTGTCTCCCGGTGTACTGTCCAATCACCACCATAAGGACCCCACTGGAAATAAGTCTTCTTCTAGACTTTCGTGGGCTATCCTTGGTGTTTACACCGAATAAATCCAATCCAATCCAATACCAATTTAATTAAATCCCTATCAACAAATTTGTTCTCGATAAATCTAAAAAAGGATCTAATATATACATAGGCCTACATCCATGAATTTTGAAACTAAATATAAGTTCATTTTTTATCCCTAGTTAAATATATTTATAATCACTGATATTTTATACGGTATTCATTTTATTAAATTTTAAATTTTACTGAATATCTCTACAATTTATTGACTATATTTTTTTACATTTTTTATTTTTTATATTCAGGCAGCCCTCCACACGCTTTTGGGTTTTTGCCTCTCTTCTGAAATTAATATTTATCTTTTTATTTAAAAACAGTACATAGGCCTATATGAAAAAAGAGAAATAAATGTTACGTTAAATTGAAGTGAATTGTTTTGTTTATGGGCACTATATTTGCCCTTTGCTTATGTACAAAACAATTGGGTTTTCTATTAGAATAATACCGAATTGTCGTTGTTCTTTGTGTTTATTTGAGTATTATAGGAAGAGATTCTGCTACTTTGTTGTATACCATCATCATTGTAAGTGCGGGGGACTATGTGTTTATTTGAGTATTATAGTGTGCGAAAAACACTACTTCCTTTAAATGTATGGAACAGTTCCTGCTCCTTTGTTTTATATTGAATATAAGAGAGGAATTTATTCTCAACCATCATCATTGTTGGTGCGGGGGACTATGGCGTTTATTTTTTAATATTATGGTAAGTTTAAGGATTATTTCGAATAGAACAAAAATAAATATTGTCGTATTATCTGAGAAACCTGCTTAATCCTGGTGTAGCCGATTAATACAGCAATTACTCCGATTACTCCAACAATGATGCGCACAAAGAACATTCCAATTGTTACGCCTCTACAGATGAAACTGGCTGCTGGAACTGAACAATATATAGCATCAGTTAAAAATATTACCTAAATCAAATACTTTTATTTACTGTTTATGCCTCAAAATAATGTTGAATAATAAATCTGCTTATCCTAATTCAACAAGTACATAAAGGAGAATCATTGATTAAATATCAAATCTTACTTCGGATCTATTTCACAATATTCGCCCTCCAATCTTGGACATTCACATTCTTCCACATTGTTGCGAATCACACATGCTCCACTATTCTTGCATCGCTTTTTACACGAGGGTCCTGGAATACATGTGTACTTGCATACTGTAACTGTAAATGCTTTGTGGTCTAATGGTTATGACGCTCACCTTGACAGGTTCGAGTCCCGCCAGAGGAATTTTCTTACACAATTTATTTATTCACTTATTCATAGGACTACATTCGGTAAGAGCTATGCTACACGATGTATTGTTATATCCTTTATTCGAACACTGTATCTACTTTTTTGCCTGAGCTCTGCTAAGCTGGTCTAACTTATCGTCTAGGTCTGTACTTAAGCTGCTGAACTGATGAGACCTGTAAGACCGAAACGCATCCGTCTGCAGATATTGGGATTTTTCCAGTGGATATTTAGTTTATTTTGTCATTCTGATCGGATTTGCTATACTGTCCCGTTTTAATTTTTGTTTTGCATTATGTGGCCGTTTGTTGTTTTCATGGGTTTATCCCATTTGCTTTTAAAATATATATTATTGAAGAATCTCTTTTGAGATTCAGCAGACTGCCATTGATGCACAGTAGAGATTGTATCTTTAGATCTCCGGCGATCTAAAAATTGCATATTTAGCAGTATATCGTTATTTTTCTTTATCTAATTAGATCGGAATATAGGAGCTTATCGTGTACTCACTTTCACAACGATTTGTGACGTAATCAAATTGTCTGCCAGCTCCACATATACATTCACAAGTGCCATTCCCATAATTATACAAATTATCCCCCTCATCTAGGTCACAACCATCCTTATAGATGCAGTCTATTTATAACACCTTCGGTTGAACAATTTACATAAACTCATGTAAAATATACCAAAAACAGAGAACAATTGATATAGTTGCCTCATGCTTTAACCTGATTGACATGAAATGGATTTTACTTGATGAAATGAAAGTCAGCAATACATCAAAACAGCAACCCTAGATCATGGCACAGAAGGGGCACACGCAAGGAGAAGTATTATTTCTTAAATACTTTTTTTTCATTAAATTGTCCAATATGAAATGTATTAAGTAGTTGATTAACATTGGTTTGTTATATTGGAATAAAAGTTTGAAAATGAGAATAACTCACGCAATTTAATCCAATGAAATTATCAGTACACCTACAATTGTAGCCTCCTTCGACAACTGAACACGTGCCACCATTTTTACAAGGTTCACAATCACATGAATCTATATAAAAAAAAATAAACGATACATCAATCAACTTTATTTTCATTTCTGCTATTTTACATTCTATTCAAATTACTTTATATACAAACATAAACATAAACAGAAATGGGAAAGTCATATTTATTAATAGCATGCTCACAATTACAATGAACATTCAATAGTTTGACTTGTGATGTACCACTACCAGCGATGTTACTTGCTTCACATTTGTAGTTTCCTTCGTCACCCCTCGCCACACTACTTATGCTGTACATTAGATGGGTTGATGTGTTTGTCTTGATTACAGTCTCATCTTTGTAGAGAATGATTACTGGATCAGGATTGGCATTTATAGAACACACAATCGTTTCAGATTCACCTTCAGTAACAGGGTTGGTACTAATATCGAACATTATTGAATCAAAATCTGTGAGACAAAAATAAATTAATATTAATATTTTCACCATCAATACAATTGTGTTTGTGCTGACTCTACTTCTACCTTAAATGATTAGTCTTTCTCTCTCTAGATCTCGTTTTTACTGCAATAGATTAGAAGAAAGTTGTCATAGCATTCCAATAATAAGCTGCAATATACTGCAAAACTTCTTCATTTCGATACCACTACAACATTTGTAGATACACTATTATTGTAAATAGAGTTTGATTTTGTTACAATAAATGCATGTTTCTGTATACTGTCGTAATTTGTGTACACTGCATGAAAAGGACATTCATTGAGAGTTGTCATAGCAACGCGGTTAATCCCATTTGGGTAATAATTTTATCATAAACTCTATTTTTTAGTTGTTTACATTTATTATTTTGTATTTACCTTTTCTAATATCCTGCCAGTCGATTCAAATTCCATAGATCTTCAGGCCCGTAGCCAGGTCATTTCAAGGGGGGTTCTCTGGGCGTTGGGTCCAAGGGCCTGCCTAAGGGCCCCGGTGGGGTCGGGGGCGAAGTCCCCGAAGCCAGAGCAGTTTTTGTGTTTAATGGGTCTATATAATGTTATAAAAGCAGTTATGTTTTGAAAAAGATCTATGTAAATAAAAAGGTGGTAATATAATAAAATTAGAAAATATTTCGTGAGTGGATTTCCCATACGATTAAAATCGTAACGGTACCGTATCGTGAGTGACAAACATCGTAACGGTACTGAGTTTGGCCTACAGGAGTTCGTGCTTCCAACAGGTCATTCCATTCATAGAAGAAGCCTTTTGATGGAGAAAGTGTACTTTTTTAGCATAGGTTTGCCTAGGTCGAAACTAACTCCGGCGATATAAAGTCTGTCTCTTATACACATCTCACTGTCGAGACTCTGTTGTTTCAACATGTGGATTTTCTAAGTTGTCGCTAGGAAAATCATTTAACTAATGTTTTAAAAGTGCAATTAATAACTATACTGTGGAAGGGTGGAAATGACCCTTTTAACCTCCCCTTCTTGTTTTTCATATTGGAGCAAGTGTATATTTGTGTGTACAGCACATTTAGCAGGGTTCAAAGTTCGGAGAAGTCCTAGGAGACTGGTTTAATGGGTTTTATGCTAACATGTTATTGTGTTTTGCTTTGCATTGTGATACCTATTCTGAATTGTTACACATAATAGCTGTCTCTTATACACATCTATCTGTATTAAAATGATATAAATTTATATATATATATACATAGAAATATGCGTAAATATGTATTTAGTATAACAAATTAAATTTAAACGAAAATATGGAAGAAGCATAGGAAGAAAGAAGAATAGGAAAAAATTGAAAATGAACAATAATAATCATTTTTTTTCATTATTGCATCTCGTTTTTGTGAAAATAACCCACCTTAAACACGGCCGGCTGAAGCGGGGGGGCCGGGGGCCCGGCCCCCACCCCCCTCCCACATTTTGGCGAAAAATATATAATGTCTGGAGATTTTTGTATGATCGGAAATGCAAAAAAAGGATGGAAGAAGGAGGAGAAGGATGGGTAAGAGAATGTTTATCCAGTACCCGACCGAGTTACATTTTCTTGCAATTCATATTGGTGGATATGGGAGAGGGGGGTCATTGGTCCTTACCCCTCCCTTGGGCAACAAAAAAAAGGGCAAAAAGAAAATAATTCTAGACCTACCGTTTCAGGACCCGTGAGCTGATTTCTTTTCGTGGAAAAAAGAATACGCATGCAACTACTCATTTGTTTATGTATGTATACACACATGAAATAAAAAATGAGAAAAATTTACCTGACCTATTTCAAGAGGGGAAAACCTTGAATTTTGAAGAGCTTTAAAAGTCATTAAAAGACATTTTAGAAGTCAGGAAAGCTCATCTCCCGCCATCTAGAAATCTTTTTTTTTTATGTATGTATACACACATAAGGCCTAATTATTGTAATAACAATGGGAAAAAATTATCTGACCGTTTTCAAGAGTGGAAAATCTTGAATTTTGAAGAACTTAATTACTTTTAAGTTCTTCAAAATTCCAGGTGTTCCCCTCTTGAAAATTATTATAATGAATCAATGAACCCAGAGAAAGGGAGGTTCGAGTTCTTCCCGGGAAAATGTTGATTTATAAGTGGTGGACAATGAGATTTCCCGACTTCTGAAGTATTTTTTAATGACTTTAATGTAAAAGACACCTCAGAAGTCGGGAAAGCTCATTTCCCGCCTTCTAGGAATCAAAATTTTCCTGGGGAAGAACCCTGGACCCTTCTTTCTTTTTGGGATTCATCTCATGGAAAAAATCTTATGCAACTACTCATTTTTTTTAAATGTATGTATACACACATAACAGGCCTATTTACTATAATGAGAAAGTTTACCTTACCGTTTTCATGAGGGGGAACCTTGAATTTTGAAGAACAAAGTCATTAGACACCTAGCTCAAAAGTCGAGAAAGGTCATTTCCCGCCACCTAGGCGGGGGAGGAATGTTGACCCCCCCCCCCACCTAGATTCGATTCCAGATCTGCGTAACCACCGGGGGACAAGGGGAAAATATCCATCTGTGGAAAATCTTTCCCTATTGAATGCCCTTTTCACCCGGGAAAGTGCCTGAAATTCTCAAATTTTAAATCGCATATTTTGTTGAGGTAGGCCAAATTCCTCTAAAAAGTTGCACATTTTAGGGAGATTTGATCAATTCCGACGAAATTAGAATTTAAAAAAAAAAAAAATTTTCGCGCGCTACGCGCGCATTTTTTACTGTTAAAGCTTCTGCTTGCCCTCCTTTGCCTTCTAAGTTATAACACATAGTCCCAAACTCAAGAAAGAAAATTTAAGATAGATCGTTTTACCTAAAAGAAGGGCCTCAATGTGTAATGATGTTGAAAGAATATGTTTGCAATAAATAAAGCCATAAGGAAAATGCTTATATTCAGTTTAAAAAAACGAGTGTGGCCATATATAACATAAGAGCATTTCTTGTTGAGGTAGGCCAATTTCCTCTAAAAATTGCACATTTTAGGGAGTTTTGATCAATTCCGACGAAGTTAGAATTAAAAAAACACAAATTTTTCCCGCGCTTCGCGCGCATTATGTTAAAGCTTGTGTTTACTCTCCTTTGCCTTCTAAGTTATAACACATAGTCCCAAACTCAAGAAAGAAAATTTAAGATAGATCGTTTTATCAAAAAGAAGGGACCCAATGTGTAATGATGTTGAAAGAATATGTTTGTAATAAATAAAGCCATAAGGAAAATTAAAAAATAAGGAAAGTTAAAAAAATGAGTGTGGCCATACCGGTATATAACATAGCATTTCTTGTTGAGGTAGGCCAATATCCTCTAAAAATTGCACATTTAGGGAGTTTTAATCAATTCCGACGAAATTAGAATTAAAAACACAAACATTTTTCGCGAGCTTCGCGCGCATTTCTTGTGGGTTAAAGCTTGTGCTTGCCCTCCTTTGCCTACTAAGTTATTTAAAAACATAATAGTTCCAAACTTGAGAAAGAAAATTTAAGATAGATCGTTTTACCTAAAAGAAGGGCCTCAATGTGTAATGATGGTGAAAGAATAGGCCTATGATTGTAATAAATATAACCACGATGAAAATGCTTATATTTAGTTTCAAACACACGTGTGTGCCCTATATTAATAATAAAATAAGCCCTATGTCGTATTGTTTTCTATATGGGGTGGGGGGTATCACACCAAGTCATAAATTACTAGATGTGTATAAGAGACAGCCCCCAAACCCAAGACCCCTGTTACGCGCCTGCTTATAAGTGGGAGCCCCCCACTTTGAAAAACGTTCCGCCGGCCCTGTTAAAGGACTATCTGTCGTTTCCTTCTTTGCCACAGTGGACGAAAAAAGTCAGTTATTCTACGACGTTTCGTAATTCTTTATCACTAAAAATTAACAAACACTCGTTTTGACGCACTCCGTTCTGTTGTGTGCGTGTCTGCTAATTTTGTGACTGGCTATGATGACTGAGATGGACCACGTTGACTTTTAAATAATATTTTGTTTGGGATGAAAAAAAGGAGTCAATTTCCCAAAAATGCTCCATCAGCAAATAGGTTAGTGTGCGATGTGGACAGTATGGCTATGGAATTTACTAACCACACAGTCCAGAATCAGGTGATTAAGTCGCAAAACTTTAGCTGCATTTGGTGGATTAAGTCGCAAAACTTTAGCTTCGTTTAGTGGCGCCATTTACTCTAGGTAGACGGCGACTAGTTTCGTTACCGGTAGCGGTTGGTACATTCTTACAAACATGCAGGCAAAGGCCAGTCAAAGTTGAGACGGGAGCCGGGTTTTTATCGATGTTTGCCATCCTTATATGTAAGCCATCGTAAATTCATGGTTTGCCGGAGTTGCGTTCAATTTAAATCTCCGAACTTCTGAAGCTGAGATATTCTATGAATGAAGGCTTGTATCGCAGGCTAGAATTTAAAAACGGGTCACTAAATAATGAATTAGGTGCTAAATTTTACGTGAGTGCACAAAGTATCAGTGCAGTTCTTGTATTGTAATCGTGAATACCACCCTTGCTCTAACGTCCTGTTATACAGACGGTGTATTAAATTTATGAATGAGTATTAAACACAATTAGAATTTAATACAAATTACAGTATATGATAGATATGATCATGTGTAATTGTATACTTCAAAATTACATTCATTCAGTTTCTGTACATACATTGGTTATAAGTCATAAATGAATTCTAAAAGATAAGCTGTATCTGTACTCACATGCAACACTTAATGTGGCAGCATCAGATGCTGTTGAAGGTGAATCACCAACCAGAGTAACGTCACATTCATATGTGCCCTCAGCAGTTCGCATCGTGTTATCAATAACAAGAGTGAGTTCAGTGCCATCTCCTTCAATACTAAATCTATCATCATAAGGCGGATTGACAGGATCAGGTGTTATCTGATACAATACTATTGTCACAGGTGAGCCATTGACAATATCTCGCCATGCAATCACCGGATATCTAGCATTTGTAGGATCACTTTTTTGAATGGTACGAACTAACCGTGTTTGTTGGCCTTCAACAACATTTCCATCAACAGATACAGTGACAATTACAGCTGAACATAAACTGAAAACACTGAAAACAAAAACTTTATAAAAGTATTGTTAATATATTATTATCAATATATTATTATCAATATAAAACTAAAAAACAGGCCTAGGCGGTCTGTCATGAGCTAAAAAATAAGTAACTGCTTAATTTGTATATGTCAACTAACAGACATGCATACTTTTTTAGCTGGTATCAATTTAAGGATTTTGTAACAGGGGTGTGATAGTATTGGGAGTCCCGTTGGGAAAGCTAGACACCCGTCGGAGAGAAAACCAAGAATTGTCGAAAACACTGTAATTTCAGCAATTTTGGGACTCCAAAGTTAAATTAAAAAGCTTTTCATAATCCTTATTTGGAGACTTTCCAGCGGTTCTGGACAGCCCCTTGCACCGCCGCTTACGCCCTTGTAGGGACTAGGAATAAGCGTGCTCCCGTCAGGGATCTAGTGTACTCCGTCGGAAAAACCCTGTATCAAACCTGTTATATAATAACATTACTGTAAATCAGAGAAAATTTTAATAAAATCTTATATTGTGTCATGTGAATTAAATGGGAGTAAACTGACGTTTACATTACAACATGTTTGAGCACTCTATGAGTCACAACACTAACTTCAGATGTTATGTTTTTTTCTCGTGATTCGAAATGGTTGGTTATCCCTGACACCAGGAAGGAACTAAACAATAATAATTTCAAAGAATCATTTAAACGCAATTTCGCACTAAGGAGTTATTATGTGTACACAAATTGATAAAAATATACAGTAAGTTCATAAATTTACAAAGAGGAGAGGGATCATTTGAATGTCTTGATGACGCCAGCCCAGTTTGTTTGGTTTTTTTTAATTTGAAGATTAATAATTGACTCAAAAATAATAAAATTAAACAATTATAAAATAGTACAGTAATATTTTATTTAACAATACCTTTTAGCCACAATCCTTTACAAATACCGTACCAATAATAATTACTGAATAAGTATATATATATATAATAAATAATCAAAGAAAGGTAAATACAGTGTTTAATAAAGGACAATAATACATCGCGTAGCGAATGTAGTCCTGTAAATAAATGAATAAAGAAATTGTGTAATAAAATTCCTCTGGCGGGATTCGAACCTGCGACCTCTCGCTGTCAAGGCGAGCGTCATAACCATTAGACCACGGAGGCTTCATGGTTGAACAGATTCAAATACCACCAGATACACTCCATTACACAATAAA